GTAGTATAAATATAAATACCATATTTCTAATTAATTTTACTCTAATCTATAGCTCTAATTCAATATTATAATTCCTGTTCCTGAGTCTAGTATTACTAATCTAGATATAAATAGCTATATTTATAAGAAGAATTACCTAAAATAAATTAAGAAGCTTAGTATTTAAGAACTCTTAATAAAGGAAATAGAGATATTATAGTTCTATTTCCGAAAAAATAATATATTAATATATAGAGATCTTAGTAATAGCTATTTTATTTTAGCCTCTTAACTCTTAATAATAGATCTATTAATATAGCTCGGATTTTATAAGATATTAAATAAGTATTCTATTTATCTAGTTACTTACTCTTAGCTAGCCTAATACTATATTTCTAGAAATATTAATTATAATTAGTATAAAGATAATACTAAAGATCTGGCTATTATTAAAGCTTCAAATAGCGAATTTTATTTTAGTAAAGAATATTAAAATATTAGCTATATTTTCTTTAAATACTATAAGAAAACTACTATTTTGAGTAAGAAGTTCTTTAAAGATATTAATTACTTCTCTATTTCTAATAAATTTAAGCCAGAAGTAGCTAAGAAATTAGGTAAGTATTTACTAAAGGTAATAGGAGAAAAGACTTCAAATATAATCTATTTAATTAGATAAATAAATATCTTTAGCTAGATAATCTATAAGTCTGGAATTATAGGAAAGTATTAATTCTCGAATAATATATAAGTTAAAGAATAGCTTAATAATAATTTGCTACTTAATAGGCCTTTTACTATAATTCTAATAAGTCTAGTTATTATTAAGAACGAAATATATAAAAATGAAGTTTCCTATAAAGTTATTAAAGTCTTTTATCTAGAGCTTTCTTCTTTTATTAAAAGTCGATTTAAGAATATTATAAATAATACGAAATTCGAAAAAGCTATTTATTTAAAGTATATTAGTATAATTTATAATATAATTTACTATAATAAGCCTTTTTAATATCCTATAATAAAAGCAGAAATTAAGTAATAGTTAAAGGCAAATACTAATTAATATAAGAATATAGTTAAGCGAGTTCGGATTGCCTTTAAGTAAGTTCGGGAATATGAAATAAGACTATTTAAAAGTAATAAGTCTTATTTTAGATATATAGAAGAGAAATTAAATTAACTAATAAAGAAAGATCCTAAATATTTTTATTATTTTGAATTCTAAATAGGATTTTTCTATTATTTTTGGTATTTAGGAAACAAGTATAAATAAATAAGAGGTCGGATATAGTATAATAGGCTATATTTATTAAAAATTATATTATTTTAGCGGTTTTGAGATTTAGGTTATATAGTAAAGGCTATAGCCTTTTATATATAACTTACGGAAATTATATAAGAAAGCTAGTTTTTCTATAGATTTAGAGAATAATTCTTTATAAGTATTTAATTAATTAAGCTTTTATATACTATATACTATTTATACTTTACTATTTATACTTTACTATTTATACTTTACTATTTATACTTTACTATTTATACTTTACTATTTATGCTTTTAATTTATTATTTTACTATTAAATTACATTTTATACTCTAGTATACTTTATATGAGTTTTTGTCTTATTATAATTTCCCTTCTATAATAACCTAGCCAGATATTTAGAGAAGTATCTAATTAGGTATTCTTTATATTATCTAATTAGAAAAAGAAAATAGAACTCAGATATTTCTAGAACTAGCTAATAGAATAATAATAATAGAGAAATTAGTAATAGCTTATTATTATATTACTAAATTAGAAATAGAAATATAATAGAAAGAGAATTTAAAGAAGCTAGAAGCTCAGATTTATTATTTTAAAGATATTCGAATATCTAATATAGAATCTATTATATTTCTAATAATATTTTTAATTTAGAGAATTCTAAAAACCCGAGAACTATTAATTTATAAAAGAAAAAATATTAAAGAAATCCAGGATTTCTTTTATTAAATAGAACTAAAATAATATAAAAATAATAGAATTATCTAAATTATAAATATAATAAAAGTTATATATTATATTTCCTATTTTAAGAATATAGCTAAAAATATATAGAAATATAAAAAGTAATTAGTAAATATTAATATTATAAATTAGGAAACCTTTATTAAATTTATAAAGAATTCTATTTTAGATCTAGAAAACTATAATAATAATATTTTTACTAAGTTTAAAAATATTAAATAATAATTAAACTAGAATATTTAAAGCTTTATATCTTATTTAAATAATCTATTAGATAATTTAAAATATACGAATTTATTATAAGAATAGAATAACTTATTTAATAGCTTAAAATAGAAGATTCGGAATAAGATTAATTATTAAGGAAATATTCTATAAGAAAAAGAAACGCTTATTTCTATAGCTATAAAAATTAAAAATAACTTAAACCTATTTATTTAATAAAAATAAAATAATGAAAGAAAAGAAATAAAATAAAAAATAAAAATATTTCTATTATAAGATTTATAAAACTAGAATAATAAAGATATAGTAATAGAATTTATAAAACCGAATTTTATTTATTTTATTTATTAGAAAAAGAATTATTATATTACTATTTATTTAAATCAGGAAAACCCGATTTATTATAATTATAATAAGTCTAGCTATAAAATATATAAGTATCTAGAACTAAAGAAGCCGAGAAATAAATATATTTTATAGTAATTATATTTATTTATATTATAGAAAATAAAGCCCCTAAAATAAAAAGAATAAGAAAAAGTAAATATAAAATTAAAATATTAATTAATTCGGATATAAAGACTAATTATATAAAGAGAAGGCTAGCTTTAGATATAGGTATTTTATTAATATTAAAAGTAATTCCTTTAACCTTATTAAAAAAAAAGGAAAATTCATTTATATAAAAATTATATTCTTAGAATTATTATTAAGAATATATTAGGAAACTGAAAAGAAACTAATATATATTTTATATTATATAATTTTAATCTAAATTATATTAATATAATATTTGAATTCTTATAGCTTTATTAAATTAATTCTCTAATTTCTTTTAGGAAAATAATATAGAAATACCAGATTTAATTATAGAAAATTAAAGTTCTAAATATTAGGAAATTTACTAAAATAGTAAAATATAAAATATATATTTTTCTATTAATTACTTATTCTATAATAAATAACTAAAGAATTATTATTATTACTATAAACGGGATAATTATATTTTCTAGAAAATATTAGAACTTTTTTTTAAATATTTTCTATAAAAGCTATAAATATACTATTTAACTATTATATAATAAAATATTATATAAATCTAAAACCAGGATTCTAATTACTATATAGCCCTATATATATTTTATTAAAAAGGAAATTTAAAGTTTTTTTTAGAAATATCTTAATATTAGCTTAGAAAAGAAATAAATCTATTATTTTATTAGTTTAGCTAGTATTTTAATTATATTTATATATTAATTACTGGAATCTAAATAGAATTATTATTAAAACCCAAATATTATTACTATTTATTAGTAAAATAAAAATATATATAAAACTAGATTTAAAAAATATTTATTATTAGTTATAAATTTAAAAGAATAATAAATAGAAAATAGTATTTTAAATACTATATTATATCTTTTAAATTCTCTAATATTCTAATAATATTTTAGATATATATTAATTATATACTAATAAGCCTTATAGATATTATTTATATAGTTTATTTAAATAATATTTTAATTTATTTAGAAAACCCAAAATAGTATATAATAATAGTCTAATATATATTTAAATAATTATAATAATGCTAACTTTTTATAAATTTAATAAAATATGAATTTAATATAGAAAAAATAAAGTTTCTAGAATTTATAATTAGTTTAGATAATATAAAAATAGAAGCTAGCCAGATTATAGCTATTAGAAAATAGCCGGCTCTAAAAAATAATATCCGGAAAGTCTAAATATTTCTGAGTTTTATTAACTTTTATTAGAAGTTTATTTATAGATATTTTAGAATAATAAAAAAATTAACTAATTTATTAAAAACTAGTAGAAACCTATAATATTATTTTAGCTAGACAAATAAAATAGATAAGGCTTTTAGGGAACTATAAATTATATTTATAATAGTATTAATTCTTTATTATTTTAATCTAGTCTTAAAAATTTATATAAAAACAAATACTTTAGGATTTATAACTATAAGTATAATTTTCTAGCTTTTTAATAAAGTAATAGAAACCAGATAATATTCTATTACCTTTTATTTAAAAAAAAAATAACTATAATTAAAAACAGATATAAAATATATAATTCTAAACTTTTGGCTATTATTCTAGTATTTCATATTTAATAATATTACCTAATATATATCTAATATACTATTATTATTAAAATAAATTATAATAACTTGAGACATTTTATAATTAAAAGGAAACTAAATAGTTAATAAATAAAATAGATAAAGAAACTAACTGTTTTTGATTTCGGTTTAGAATACTAGCCAAAATATAATAATTCTATTAATAGACTATTAAAGAAACCAGATTTTATAATAGATATAAATAAAGATATTTTATTATTTATATTTTATAATAAGCTATAGAATATAGAATAGAAAGCCCTATAAATAATAATAATAGAATATTATACTGTTTCTATAATACTATAATATAAGACTTAGAAAAGAAAAAATAGGTATTTTTTAATTAATAAAATACTAAGGAATTCCAAAAAGAAAATCTATTTTAGTAATAAAATAATACTAGAAATATTACTATTTGAATTTATTACTAGTATAACTAGTTATAAGTAGTATATACTATAGATTATAGCTATATAGGTAGCTAGATGTAAAATAGTATATAAGAAAAATAAAGAGGTATTATTTAAGCTATTATTATAATACTAGTAATATAAATAGTTCGCAAGATTCTTGATTTTGTGGTCACAGAAGACGATCCCAGAGATTATTTGTTCATAGTATACTACGCGGGGCATGCCAAGCTCACGTCTGATCGCTTGCTATCTTGGACAAGGTTCGTGGGCTTATAGCCAAAGTCACCCGCTTCTCAATTACACCTATTTCCTAGCCAGGTCTAATCTTTGTATTACAGTTGGCGAAATGACCGCAACACTAGATGCCCAACGGTACAACGGAGCGGTATTCAGAATGTGTTAGAATAAGCCGAAAGTGATATCCTTATTCTACTAGACTGCTGTCACTCTGCGACAGCCAATACAAGTGCGGGCAACGGAGTTACAGAGCTCATTTCAGCATGTGCCTACAACGCAGTTGCAAATGAAGTTGGCTATTACTCCTTCACTAAAGAGCTTACTATTGAGTTCCGAGATCTAAGCACGAAGCCTTCATTTACAGTTGCAGAGCTATACCGGAACGTATTCAGCAGAATCCAGGCCCGTGGGCCCGAAGACGGAAGGGAACGACACCCTGTACCAATCCACCTCTCTCTTACTCAGGATAAACCTCAGTATCCCTGTAGTATACAACTTTCTATTTGCCCAGGACATGTTGATGGGAATAGTCGTGCTAAAAGCTCTCTTATGGACGCTCCTACAACCCCGCCGAGTGTTCAGAATAATTCGAACGTTTATCGTGGATCGAACCTATCCAGCCTACAGAGAGTTGAAGAGGTAACCGGCCACCTCGGTGAAGTCAGTGTCACAGATTCAATCTTGTCCTTATCAACCAATGTACCGCGAATGCTTTTGGCTGTCTGACTCCTAAAAGTTCGGGAAATTTGAGTGATCATGTGACCTTCAATCCTTTAGGCCGCAAACTTCTCGTCATGTGATTGCAATCATATCGAATGTTCTAGAATCGTTAGAAAGACAGGGATTCCCTAAAGTCACAGAAGTACGCCTCCTCTCTTTGCATTAATGCTTTTACCACATGATTTAGAGTACGTGGGTGCTAGCCTGCGGCTCACACGAAGCCTTCGAAATTGGTTAGAGTAGTGGAATTTCTATTGAGAAACGTTAGAATACAGTAGAGTTTCGAAATCGGCTTCAGTTCCGACTCTTAATGACTTGTTTTTGGACCCATATTTATGCGGCACTAACCTTCTATGGCTAGCTGGCTCGCCAACCTTTACCTTCGCTTATTTCCTTTGCTACATGTGGGCTGATTATTTAGCACGTTGCCGGTCATCGGCGCTGGTGGCGTTGTTTGTTACATTACGTAATGAGCTGATAACTGATCTGGTGGATGTTACCTGGTGTTACTGGACATATCAATCACAATCAGCTTTATCCTCAGATATTACTACTTTGACATGCAACCACAACTAAGCTCGCAACCGACACTAACTCTATCGGCCCCTCCTATCTCAAGGTGAACGTTTTGCTGCTTCAATCAGCCGTCGTTTGACCGGCGGTGGAGTCCGTCATGTGGCTTATCAATACATCGACTACCAGACTGGAACCGAAGCCATTCTACGAGCCAGATATTCCTCCATATGCCATATTATCTCATACGTGGGGTGACGACGAGGTTGATTTCCAAGAATTCAAGGAGGATAAACCGGCAAAACTCAGAGAAGGCTGGTACAAGATAAAGAACATATGTGAGAAGGCGCTCTGCGATGGACTGCAATATGCCTGGGTGGATACATGTTGTATCGACAAGTCAAGCAGCGCCGAGCTTAGCGAATCGATCAATTCCATGTTCTTCTGGTACCGCCAGGCGGCAAAGTGTTATGTCTTCCTGTCTGACTTCAAGCATGGAAGTACACCAGAGGATCAGTTTCCTAGATGCAGATGGTTCACACGTGGATGGACCCTTCAAGAGCTCCTGGCACCGCGGATCGTCATCTTCTATGATCGGGTCTGGGAGGAGATTGGCAGTAAGATTCAGCTTTGCCATGTCATATCGGGCATTACGTCAATTCCAAAGGAAGCCATATTGAATGATACCCCACTGGCCTACTACTCAATTTCGCAGAAAATGTCATGGGCGGCCTCGCGCGTCACAACTCGCATCGAAGATACGGCTTACTGTCTTTTAGGCATATTCGACGTTTATATCCCTTTGCTCTATGGGGAAAGACATCGCGCATTTTTCAGATTGCAGGAGGAGATTTCGAAGAACACACTCGACATGACGCTACTTGCTTGGGAACCCACGCCGGAAGATTTCGAGGATGGTTTCTGCAGTTTTATTGCTCGATCTCCGGCGTCGTTTAAGAGCAGTGGAAACATCCGGAGATTTGGGCGTGAGACCCGGGCTTGTTCTATGAGTGCGCGAGGTCTGCAGTTCAACGACAAACACCCGGCGAGGCTTATCCCGACTAGTCCGGACTATTACACTGATATCGGTAAGATAGGGAAGAGGCCGAAGCAATTTATTGTGTTCATAGCCGTGACGATGATAGGCCCAAGCCTTTATGCTCGAAATGGACGAGTCCACCTACGAATTCAAGTCAATGGCTTTGACGAGCGAAGGCCCTACTACTTTCAACCTCTAACCTATCCAATCTACTTGGCAACAATGCCGCGACATGCTTTCGTAAGTATCAAGGACAGTTTGCACTTTCAAGCAGATCCTAGGTTGAGAATATTCGACGGCTCTCCTCGCAAATTGTGGAACGAAGTCGACAGTCTGTTCTACTATTCTCGTGACAGCAATTTGCGAGTTCTTGATATGAGGGGCACATTTGGATCGATTTTGATGCAGCTGGTAGTTTTGGTCTTTTTCAGAAACGGCGAACCGCGCTGTCTTATATTTGATCGGAAGGAATATCCGGAATATGCGACTAAACTCCTGAACCATACCTGGTCCGAACACAATGAGGGTTGGGTTCCCGAATCTCCCGAGCTCTCGAAACTTGATAGTCACACGCGTATTTGCCAAGGAGGGAATAGCATCACCATAAGTTCATCCATTAAACATGGTGTGGTTAACAGCATTTCAAACAAAAGGATATGGAGTGTTAGCATCGGACTAAGTGAAATTTTTGAGTTGCCTAGATTCGGCGTAAAGTAAAGAAATCTTTGACACAAATGGCGTTGGTGTGGAAGGCGAAAATGGAATAGAACAACGCGAGTTATGTATACGTACAGTATTATGCAGTAAGATCTTACTATATAATAACTTTATAACATAGGTCTTTGTTAGCAAATGACAAGTGCCATTACTGCTTGAGCTTTTGACTCTTTGGCAGAGCTAAGTCAGCATCCGCCGACATCGGCTAGTCTATAGATAGAAGTCCATGTAATATATGGAATAAGGAATTGAACGAGTGCAGGGATCTAGATCTAGGCTAAACATATATGGTTAGTGCTGCATAAAATGTGGATCAAAAATAGAATCAATGAGTGTTAGAACTGAAGCCATTTTCGAGCTTTGCTGTAAGCAGTTGGTAAGTGGGTGGATGAAATCGACAAAGTTTCAGGCAGTGCGCACGGATAGCAGCAAGCCATCCAGTCAAACACGTGACACAAAGCATCAGAAACAGCAGGGTAGGATTAAATGGGCCGTGAACCGTGAAAAGGGAAGATCATAGACAGGAACAGCTTGCATATAAATACATGTTAGGAGAAGACGTAAGTCTACTATAGTATACGTCTCCGTTTAGTGACTGGGCTACTATTCAAGCTCGAGGAACTAGAAATACCAGCCCGCAACCTCCATAACTTTAACAGGCGGAACGTGGGTCCAGATACAGTCTTCCCAGACTTGTTTGTAAAGACGTAGCTACCAAATCAAACTTAAACGGCGACAATTATTTTACTAGCAAACCTGGCAGCTATAATACTAACCTCTCGAACAAAACTCGTCTGGAGTACCTGGACGATGCGAAGGGCTCAGACGAGGCTGGTACAAAACAGAAACACAGTGTTAAGAAGGAAGCAATGCACGTGACCTTCTAGTAACCTTCCAGAATCCGGAACGGATTAAAAATTGGGCCGTACGGAATAAAGAAAGACCGAACCCACTTCTCTCTCTCTCTTCGAAGAACCTTCTTATTTAGCTTTCAGCTAAACGTGGGTGCCAGCCTGCGGCTCACACGAAGCCTTCGAAATTGATTAGAGTAGTGGAATTTCAATTGAGAAACGTTAGAATGAGCAGTTGGCAAGTGTAAGGTGGATGAAATCGACAAAGTTTCAGGTGTGGCGCACGGACAGCAGCAACCCACCCACGCGAGCACTAATAAGCAAAACACGTGAGGACAATGCGTAAAAGAAAACCAGATCTACCATTGAAACTCGACTTCAAGTACGGGACGGATTATATTTACAGCGACCTGTAAGAAACAATACGGATTATATTTCCACCGAATTGTAAGAAACCACGCGAACCATGTTCGGAAAAGCGCCAAGACCGGATCGAAGAATCACCGAAGCGCCCGCCCTCTCTTCTTATCGAAGGCATTTCGAAGGCAAAAGGGGGTCAAAATCAGAAACGGCTAGAGTGCTATTCGTACTAAGTCTAAAAATGCTCTAGTATAATACCACATGAAACTAATCAGATTACAAAAATAATAGACTTGAAACAAATATAAAAGGAAAGGCAAATTCAATAAAAAGAGGGATAGCAAGCAAGTTCTAGGGGGCCATATATCGAGTAAGGAAAGCTCCCAGACCTAAAAATCAGAACTAATTAAAAGAAAAGAATAACGGCTATAGGCTAAGCATATCTTAAATAGTTTTAAATATAGCTATTAACTTTATTAGCTTTATAGGATCTGTATCTAGCTTTATATTATACTTCTTTTTATACTAAGTAGTAAAAGAAAGAAAGTTAGTTGAATTAAATCCGCTTTATACTTCTATTATAATTACAGGCTACCTTTTAACCTTAATTATTAGTTATACTTTGGCCTTTATTACTTGCGAGACTAATACTCTAATATATAAGAAGATCCTATTTTAAATTACAGGTATATTAGCCTTTTTCTTATAGATGCGAATATACTTATTCTCTATTTAATCTCGGCTTTCTGGTTCTTTCTTAATACTATACTCTAAATAGAATTAAGCCCTCTTATTTTTTTTCCCGTTCTATATATTTCTAAAATAAGTTATCTATAGCTCTTTTATTTTTTACCTAATCTCAAAGATCTATATACTATATCTAAATAGGATTTTTTTCTTTCTATTTATATAAGATATAGATTATAGGTTTTTTTAGAAACTCCGGACTATAAGATTCGGCTATAATATAAAGGATTTTAATAAATTCTTTTTTTTAATTCTTTTACTAACCTCTATTATATAAATATAATTCAGATATATATTAATTATATTTCTAGTAAAGTCTTTATAGGAAAGAACTTTAATATAAGAGCAGGCTTATAATCTAATTATAATAAAAAGTTACTTACTAAATACCTGGCCTTTTTTATTACTTTTTCTAAAATACTTAAACTTATATTCTATAATTATCTTTTTATTTTTAGTAAAGCCCGGTTTTCCCGTATTTAGTTTATTTAATTTATAATAGTTTATATTAATATTAGTTTTACCTATACTATTATTTATAATACTACTAACTATAATACTAATAGAAGTAATACTTATAAAAGTAGTATTAGTAAAAGTAGTATTTATAAAACTAGTATTATTATCTCTAAATAATAGAGGCTTTAGTATTTTAGATAATAGCTTTAATATTCAAGTACTAGAATAAGAGCTTGCTTTAACTAGCTTAATAAATTCCTATATTTTACTAAAAAACTATTCTTTTATTCTTATATTAATAGAATTTTTTTCAAATTTTATAGCCTGGAAATAGGCCTTAATTATAATATTCTTAATTCTCTTTATATTAATTAAGTTAACTATATTCTCTTTATTAGAATAGCTTTATTACTAGCTTACTATAGTATTATTTGCTTCTAGAATTTCTATATAAAACTTATTATTATTATTACTATTTAAGATCTTTTCTATAATAGATATAATATATATATAAACTTTTTAAATAAAAATTATAGTCTTTTTATCTTCTATTTCCTTGTTTTCTTTTTTATTTTAGATTAATTTTAACTTATAATTTATTATTTCTATTTAGCCTCTAACAATTCCTAATATTTTAATTATAGCTTATAGTTCCGGAACTTTTAGTTAGTAAATAGCTAGTTATAAAGATCTCGATTTATTTTACTAAGTTTCCTTATTTCAAATAACTTATAAAGCCTTTACTATATAGATCTGCTTAATTTCTTTAAGCTAATTAATATTAGAAATATTCTTTATATTAAGAATTTACTTGATCTCTTTTAGAAATATTACTTTTTTATATTATATTTCTCTAGATAATATTAAAATATAGCTGGAATTTATTTAATCGGGAATTAGTTTAAGCTATTTATTTGTTTTATTTATCTACTTTTTACTAATTCCCGTTATTATATATATTATTATTAGTACTAATATATAGATTAAATAAAGTAGTTAATAGTATTTAAGAATATTTACTTATCTAATTAATTACCTTTATTCTTAATAGCTATTAGGCCTTTTCCAGGTAAATCTTCTTAATCTCTTCTACCTAATCAAGATAATAGTTAACTTTAATACCGAGAACTTTCTCAAGCTCCGAAATTTCTATACTTTAATATAGTTAATTAGTATGGCAAAAATTCTACCGGCAGATGGGAAATTACAGACTAGATCCCAAACAAGCCATTTGTAGACGACGTTGGATACTGTTTCTAGATGAGGCTGAATGCCGTTTGTGGAGTCGGGACTTCGAGAAGCCAAAAATGAAGTAGCAAAGCTCAAACCAGGGTATCAGAATTGGACCAAAATCCAAAATCATGACCAGCAGGTACTGTAATCACGTTGGAATTTGCTGTACGGGGTGAGAACGCTTCAGTTGTCTCCAAGCCTTATTCCGGCCATCGCATTATTCTTCAAAATTCCAACATATGATAGATCCCGTAACTCATACCATAATGCTAAAGAGGTTATAACAGCTCTCTATATTCTAATACCAGAGGTATTATACTCGCCAGCGGCATCCCACGTTCATTATTATATTTGTTCCTATAGTTCTACTAAATTATAAGGAATATGTCTTCGAGTACAGATACTTATTTAACGGCATTCCTAGGTTCCGAAACCGATAGTAAGCTCGCTCCGTATTTTGCCTTATAAATTATTATTAAATCCGTATAAGCAAAACGAGTATACTAACCTGGTTATTTATAATAGAAGTCGTCTCTATTGCCTCGATTACAGAATTATTATTATAGCTTGCAATTAGTTCTCTTCTTATTAAATCGAAAAAGTTAATAGAATCGGTAGTAAATAATATTCTCTAGCCAGACCTTAATACGAGTCGGGATTATAAATTCATTACAGAAAACAATAAATGCTTTATATTAGTAAACGAATTTCGGAAATACTAGAATATTAGTAATAAGCCTTAGCGAAATTTTATATGTCTTCTTTATAACTATATAAGATTCCTTTTCTTGCTTTTATAGAATCTATTCAAAGCATATATCGAGTCCTATAAAATAATAATTCAATATTATATAATTATTTGAATATTTACGAGTTTTTAAGGTCTTAGATTATTACTAAATAAAGTCTATATCTTGGATATTTAGATCCTTTTTAGTAATAATAATCTGAATATAATAAATAAAGAAAAGAAATAGTATATAGTTAAAGCTACTTATATACTAATAGAGAAAATAATAAGAATCCAATAACCTAGTATATTAATATATATTATAATATAAGAATAAAAAAAACTTATTCTATAGCTTATTATTAAAACTAAAACCGAATATTATTAGATAATAAATAAGGAAATTGCTCTCTATTAGATTCTCTAATTTAATATTATTATTTTTAACTTAATTATAAGATAGTTATTCTAGAAGTAATAATAATAGCCCGCCTATATATACTACTAATAGGCTATTTCCTAGCCTTATTCTAGTTAGGTTAGTATATAGCCGGAAATAGTTTGAATTCGTTTTTTAGAAAAAATTAGTAATTATAATCTAATTATTAATAGAAAACTTTACTAGTTTTTTCTAATATATTAGAAATACTTTATTCTAATAGTAATAATAATAAGTTCTAATTAGATAAATAAACTTTTAATTAT